CACAGCTCCATTCTCTAGGCACAAGACGCACAAGACCAATCTCTAAGACCAAAGCTAGCAGGTTGAAGTGAAGTCGCCGAAGGTCTCTGCAGCCGTTGCTGCAGCTCTTGAGTTTTGCCAGGAGTCACTTTGCCCTGCTCTGAATGTCCTCGCAGAGTTCACCCCCAGCCTGCCCCCCAGCCCAGCCCAGCCGTGCCAGGGGCTGCATCTTCTGGCAGTGGAATTGTGCCACATTTGCTCAGCTGATGCTCCACGTCCAGTGGTTTCCACCCATATTTACAAGGAGGTGGCACTTTCATCCTAGAACGACCAGAAACTGGGATGCCTGGTCACTAAAGATAAATTTGGATCCCTATTTACATTCTTACCCCACTTGCATTAGGGAGTTAATCTCTCAGCAAAGGCAGATAATATCTGTCTCTTTTTTAGGTTCTCTCACATGCAGAATTCTGTTCTCTATTGGATGAGAAGACACCAAAAAATACACCCTCCAATCACCAAAACCACAGTAGTAGTCCAAAAGACTAGCCCTGAAAGGCTGCAGGTGGCATTTCCCAAGGTGCCAGCAAGATTTACAATCCCATATTTTGCTCAGATGTTCAAAAGCCCCAAGGACCAAAACCGCAGCAGGGTTTTCAGAGGAGCTCAGCTCCAAATCTGGCATCTACTTGAGTTCTGTCTTTGATGGACTTAACTTGGGTGACTAAAATAGAGGCTATAAAGCCCTGAAGTTTTGAGAGATCTTGTCCCAGTGAAATTTTTCTATGATGATGTGTGTCACTATGATACTGCTCAGCTATTGCAAACTCAAATTTACAGACGACCTGGAAGAGGGATGGGCTGAAAGTTTATGGAACTTAAATTATAGCAAATAAATGTAGCACATTTATTTACTATAATTTAACACACATGATGCCTGTAGCTTCTTGTGAAGGTGAGACTCAGGATCTTAGACCAGAGAAACATTTTAAACCAAGTCTCTTTCCATTCTGCAGTTTTCAGGAATCGCTGATAAAGTGATTCCTAAAAAGATTTCTAAAAAAAAAAGCAGCTTTTTTCTTCTTTCCTCAACCAATCCATCTGGCAATGAATTCTTAACTGCCCTCGTGACATCAGTCACCTCTCCCAAGCAAACCACAACATGCTGTAGGAGTAGTTCCACTGTAGGATGAAGCAGAGAGCAGCTGACTTGCTCTTTTTCAACGTGTAAAATAAAACCATGAGGCATGAAAAAATAAATTAACTGGTTAAATCAGAGGGCTCGTTGCTTTTGAGGTGTAAAGTCTTTACACCAAGAACCTCAAGAAGCACTGTTCTGTTCAGTGGGGGGAACTGCTCCTTCTTGGTCACCCAGATCTGTCTGCAGGCTTCTGCTCCAGCCCCTGCTCCAGCCAGAAAGACTTACACAATTTGCCTGTTCATGGAACACTTATGAACCACACAGTAAAGGAGCATTAACAGTCTTATTTCACAGTATATTTCAGCTTTGTCTCTTTGTCAGGGAACAGCAGGTGACCCAGGAACAACAGGCTTTCTGTTAGTGGTGTGTTTTCTTCCCAGCTTGATTTTTGATAGCTTCTATCAACTTGCTACTGGAAAGGTAAAAAAAGCCCACATCTCACCTCCTTTGAAAGCTGACCTTTATCTACCCCAGCAAAGAAAACGTGAGGTCCACACTGATGTTTAAAAAAACCAAACCAAACAGTACCTGTATAAATTCACAGTGTAAACCATGAGAAAGGGCACCAAAGAAAACACAGTAAAAGAGAAAGGATTTCCATACAAAAAGACTAGTAAAAATTTCTGAGATTTCCTACCCACTTGCTTCAAAAAGAGTATTCAGAGCTGTTTCATATGCATAGCTCAGATATTTAACAGCTCCTGGGCTACATCAGCTGTAGATTTGGCTATTTCATTTACCAGAATCTGAATTCCCAAGTGACCTGACTGACAGCTTTTAATCTCTGTAAAAAAAGCTGAAAAAAATCAGGCAGCTTGCTTAGTCTAAACTGAGACCAGGACACCAGACACCACAACATGGACTTAATACTTCTTAAGCCAAGACTCCTAATGTCTAAGTCACACTAAAGACATAGCTGAAGATCTGCAGTCTGAGCTCTTGAGAGAGGAAGATGCAATATAAACAATCCAGAAAGAGAAGTTTGTTCTCTAAATACCTGCAGTTAAGGACATGTGAAATACATTTCTTCTTACTGTCTATGCTTTCAGCAGCATAGTTGTGTTCTCCTGGTTTGTCTGCCCTGTTTTCCAGGCCAAATCCAGTCTATTCAAACATGTAAGGTTTACAGTTTAGATAATACTGTCCTAAACCAGAGGGATCACAACTTAGTCCAGGAAAGTCCCAAGGTAACATCTAAAAACTAGTTTTTTTAATGTAACCTTCAGAGGGAAGATAATGCCCCTTTCAGACCAGGGATTAAGGACCATGACAACATTATTGAAGAAACCTGTCATCAAAACAACACAGAGATGTTCCACCTGCTCAAGTCAAAAGCAGGAGGCAGAGACACCACTGGAAATTGCTCAAGTATGACCTCTGTGAACCCCAGACAGAAGGTTCTTCACAGATTTCTGGTGCACAGCACTGAAAACTTAAAAGTATTAAAAATTCCTATTTTACCCACTCTTCTATTAAAAAAAAAAAATGGAATAATAAAAAGCAGAACAGTCTCACTAATTGGGCAAATAGTTTTCTGTTGTAGACTGACCACTGGTAGGGAGACACACTAAATGCTCTCCCTCCCCTCTCACTGCTACATCAATGTTTCTCTGTCTGACAAGCTCCTGTGGATTTCCTGCTTGTCATCACCATCCTCATCATCAGCTGGGTCGTTCTCCTCTCCAGACTCCACATAGATGGGCCAATCGTTATCAGCATCCCCCTTCTCTTGGCCTTCTGATGAAGGTTCCATGAGGCTGAGGTTGATGGGCATGGAGTCCTCGTGGGTGGTGGTGACACAGGTGCAGCTGTCACACAGCCCAAAGCGTCGCAGTCCTTGGGACAGGCTGCTGGTGAACGTTCTCCTGCAGCCCTTACAGATAATGGGCTTGTTGGAGCGATGCACCTGCAGTGAAAAATAAAACACTGGTGAAAAACAGCACTTCACCTTCTTGCTTTAGCCCTTCCCAGGGTGATGGTGGGCAAATGTTGCTAGAACACAAAACATCTGCTCTTAAGCTGAAGGGCAGATGATCCCATCACGCTCCAACGACAAATATTTGGGGTCACTGAAGTACTCATGAATCAGTGGCTTAAACGATGCCAACATCAGTGGCTTAAACTTATCAAAAAACTTTCCCTCATGTCGGCAGCCATCGTTCTGTCCACCATCTTTTGGGGGACACCAAAAAACTTTCACAGATTTCCTGACAGCAGCCTTCTGACTTACACTCAAGGCGTGGCTCCGGAGGTGCTCCTGCCGGGTGAAACGCTTCCCACAGGTCTCACAGGGGTAGGGCCTCTCCCCCGTGTGGGACCTGATGTGCCTCTTCAGGATCCCCTTCTGCTTGGCCGTGTAGGGGCAGAAGGGACACTTGTGGAGCTTGATGGGCACCACCAACACGTCACCTTTTGGGAAACAAAAACCACGTGTGTTAGATCAGGCAGCTGGGCGGCGATGGCTCTGTCAGCTTCTCACCCTCCCTGCTGCAAAGCTGAGCCCAGGGAATTGTGTTTCCCCCTCTCTCTGCCTTGGGCTCACCTGGAGTCTCTCTCAGCTGGGCAATTCCAGATGAGACTCGTGCCACTGGGGGTGAGCAAGTCCCTGGGAACAGCCTGCCTGTATTTACAGAGCTGATACTCTAAGGATGCTGGCTCACAACAGAAAAACACATTCATTTTATTTTAAGAAGCCATTTAATTAAGTGCCCAAAATTGGCTTGTAGTGCAGCAGGGTCTCTGCACTACCTCAGCCATAGAAAGTCTCCTACTTCTCTTTCTTTTATTTTTAAGAGACCATTATCATTAAACACTAAAATCTTTTAACACAAATTACAGGTGGAAGTAGCACAATGTTTCCCACGTGCTTTTACAAAGTGCATAAATTTAGAGATGGGGATCCATCTAAAAAAGATGAGTGCTTGCTCCTGCTGCCATTTGCTTGAGCCTCTGAATGGGGATTAACAAGCCAAAGGACTCCAATAGTTTGCTGATGATGTTTTCCTCTTCATCAAGCCAGTTTCCTGATGGTATTTTACTTTTCATAAAGCCCAACTCTATGCACACAACTAATAGACCATTTATGAAGTCAGATGCAAAAGGAATGAAATTTGAAGATGATTCCTTTCCAGATGATTTCCTTTCCAGCACAAAGGTTGAGATGTTATACTACAAGATTAGGTTTCCTTGTTTCAGGCACTGGCTCAGGGAAGTGTTTGCATATCAAGCCTTGAGCTCTTTAACAGTTATGCCAAAGTATGTGGGGCTGTAGAACATTCCTGGTGCTAAGGGTTGTTCAACCCAGTCTCAAAAAAAAAAAAGGGAGTGTCTAGTATTAATGTGTGAGTGAAATTCATCTCACCCAATTTCAGACCTTCATGTGTTATTGCTAATCCCTGCTGGGTGTTCAGAGCTCCATTTAAAAACAGAAAAGTGGTTCTTACACTTGCCTTGCTCTCCAGCAGTGCCTGTTTACCCTCAGCAGCTGTGAAGGGGACCAGGATGACAGGAAAAGGTGTGGACACCAGAAAGTAAGTGGCATCGATCTCATCTGTCAGCCTAAATGCATGAAGGGACTGTTCTTTTATAAGGACTTTGTATTTCTCTCTCCTGGTGGCTTGTCAAAACACTAAGATAGAAGGGCCTCTAGAAGCTGAGGAGAGATCCTTCCATTCTGCTAAATAATTGACAATTCTCAGCTTCAGCAGAGGAATGTAACTAACACAAGGTTTGGGTTTTTTCCCCCATGCCTATTTAAAGCACATCTACCAATAACATTCTTAGCAAGCTGTCAGAACACCTGATGTTCTTTATTAAGAATTCCAAAAGCATTTCCCTTTTAATGATTCATTAACAGTCTGAAGATTTTAGAAGAGGAAAAAAATAAGCCAAGTTTGCCTGTTAGATGCTCTTGCCTTGGTACACACCAAAAACCAGAGGTGTGAGGTGGTGGCAGGACTCTGTTCTGACAACTTCAGTCTTTGGGGACTCTGATTTGTGATTTTATCAGGCTCCTTCTTTTAAAGCAGTGAGAGAGAACATTGGGGTTTGTTGGCTTTAAGATCAGCCACGCATGCTTGAGCTGGAAATGCATGGAATGAACGTAAACTTGCCATCTAGAGAACATTCAGTGACAGATTTCTTGTCTGCTGCCCCCACTGTTGCCCCATTTTGTCCCAGCAATGGCACTGGTGGCGTTTGTCAGTCACCTCCTGTCTTTGTGGGGCAGTTTGGATGAGGTGAGTTGTGTGCCAGCATTACCTTGTGCAGATAAAATGCCCAAATCATCACTGTCCACTTTAAGAGAAATGCACATGGACATGCCCTTCTTCTCCTCCAGGTCCCTGAGTTTGCTGTGAGGAGATATTCCTGCCAGCATGAGACACCCCAGCAGGCCTGGGGGAGCAGGGGGACCTCGTGTGACCAGCAGCTGAAAAGGGAGTCTGCCTCCAGAGCTAAAAGCCAAATCTTCCCTTTCAGCAGCACCACAGAGTTTAAATCTTTCTGTGCTCTTACACAGCTTCTAAGTATTGACTAAAACTGATTTCTGCCCTTTTGAAGTTCAAAGGGACAGCCTATCATCCAGCCACCAGCAAGAGCTCCCGTGGAATCATCTCCTTCTGCCCTGTCAGCTTCTACAGCAGATCCCTCTTGTGGCAGCTCAACGTATCTTTCTAATTGCTCTTTCTAACACCAACATTACGAGAGGAAAACCCTTGTAAAAAATTCACCTGCCGTTCAACAAGGTCCCACAGGAGATCCTTTATTAAAGCAGCATCACCAGCACCAAGCTCCAGGATCTGTTTCAAAGAGACTGTAAAAAAAGCTGACAGAAATACTCACCTCCCAAAGGCTGCACTGAATAAATGAGTACAGCTTTCTTTTTTGAAGTCCAGAACAATAGTTTATTTTGCTAGGGCATAATATTCATCAATATATTCCTCAACAAGAGTAAGAGTAACAAGGGAGGGCACACAAGGAAGGGTTTTTCCCCTCAATTTACACAGCCTACACCCCCCCCTGGAGTCCTCTCACCTGTGTCCTCACCATACCAGTCGCTGTGAATGTCCATCATGGAACTCATGGCTACCCCTGCATCCTCTGGCCTACCCTCAAAGCCCCGGACAAAGTGATGAACCACCTCCTCCTTTCTCTGAGAGGAGCTGTTGCGCAGCAGGGCCTCCAGGAACTGCTTCATGTGATAGTTGTTGCAGGCCAGGTCCACGGCCTGCCCGCCGTGCAGCCCCTCCTCCATCTGCTCGAGGGACAGCGGGGGCGGGTACTGGGGCAGCCGCTCGCCCACCTCCCCCTCCTCCGGGTCAAACTCCACTTTGGGTTCCACCCCCTTGGGCAGCGAGGAGTTAACGTCGCCCGCGGCGTCGCTGCTGCCGGGGTCCCTGACCACCAGCTCCAGGGGGTGGCAGCTGTCGCACTCCCCGCAGGGAGGGTCCCTCTGGCAATCCGAAATCCTTTCCTTTTCCTGCAGGGAGGAGGCAGAGGCAGAGCACTGGCTCTTGGAGCCGTACGAGGCGCCCTCTCTGGCAGAGCCGGCGCTCCCGCTGTCAGCCTGGTAAAAAGCAGCTTCTCTCTCAATTTTCCTGCAAATATCTAAGGAGGAGCGTATGTAGGTTTTGCAGAAGTTGACCACGTCGGTCATCTGCAAGTAACTCGCCGCAGACATCACCTCGATCACGTTCTCCCCACAGAGATCTAGCTTCCCAGAGTAAAGGAAATCGAGGATGATGGAGAAAGCCTCCGAGGTGACGATGTCCAGCGAGGCGGTGCTGTGGCGGCCGCTGTCTTGGATGTAGTGGATGAGGAGGGCTCGGAAATAGCCGCTGTTGGCGAACAGGATGTTTTTGTGGGCTTTGAAGATCCTCCCCTCCACGATGATGCTGCAGTCGCAGAAGAAGTCCCTCTTGCGCTGCTCGTTGAGCTCTCCCAGCAGCTTCGTGTAGTACGACTGCATCTCCATCGCTCCCGCCGCCTCCGCTCGGGGCTGGGGGCAGCGAGAAGGCACCGTCAGGGGCAGGGCTCCCGGGGACCCACCGACC